GCCACAGAAAAAAAGGTGGGTGCATTTTCCATTTAGCAGAGTAAATTAGAAGATATTGTAATCGAACAAAACATGAAAATAACAACATATTTTTCTCTTTTCTTCTCCTCTTTGTGTAGGCTGTGTGTGTCACAGCAGCAGCTCTTATGCAATATTTCCTGATGTTTGCTTTCTTTTGGATGCTGGTCGAGGGAATTTATCCATACCTGTTCGTTGTGAAAGTTTACAATATAAACACCACGATGTATATGTATCACGTCGTGTCGTGGGGTACTTTGCTTTTACACTTGAACTTATCAGATACTGTTGTGAATAATGTTTTTAACTAGATGAATCATTTTAAGTCGCTTTTTTGCTGTAAAATTGTGCAATAGGTTTTCCCCTGGTTATGGTGCCCATTTCACTGTGTATGGCTGCTGGGAAAGAAGGGATAAAAAGCTATACCAGTGAAAAATTGTAAGAGGCACAACTTTCTTTCTCTTTTTATCTTCTATTTCTTCTCTTACATTTTTAATTTTCTTTGTTGGAGTTTTGAGGGTTTTTTTTAAATTTGCTTTGATATCCCTATCAACTTTTTCTCAAGATTTTCTCATAAGGCTGCCAATATTGTCAGTTTTTTCTAGATAATCTGACCAGGGGTGGGCAGAGAAGAGAAAGAGAGATTAAAATTACCAATCCTCAAAACACTTATAATCGAGTCATTATTTTGCTCATATCTCTACTTTTCGTCACATTTCTTTTGTTCTTCATTATCTTCCCTTTTGATGTTTACCTTATTTTTATCAGCATATTGTCGTACTTAGTTACAAATACAGTACCATTCTGTAAATTCTTGAGAACTGCAGCTTTTATGCTAACATTCTTATTTGTGTCTTAATTTAATTTTATTTTCCTTTCTTCATTTTAGTTGTTGGATGTCCTCAGCGAACAATCTGATTTGGCTATTAGTCACATTTGTGATTACAATTGAAGTGGTAAGTTTGTGAATCTGGTTTTTCAATTTTCTTTTCCAAATATCTTTAGTGATTTTAGTATAAGACTTAAAATGTGCAACACTCATAGCCCAATACAAATCTTTCAATAACATCCTCCACTTCAAGATCTACCTGGTGATACTCGCACGAGTCATACAGGAGATGACCGGAATGCAGCCAACAGGAGAGAAGCAAGGTCAACAAATACGGTGAGAGAGAGCTTTTATATTAAAAAAAAAATGTTTTGATGCATTTTTTTAGTGGTGTACATTTATCTGCGTCGAGATTTTGTTGCAATTACATCAGGGTACCAATAATGTTAGTAAGGGTTATATGCAATCTGTTGACCGAAATGTTTGCGTCCCTCAGAATTGGCATTAGAGCATGCGTGGTGATGATTCCGCTTCTGGGTGTCACGTGGCTATTTGGTCTTTTGTCGCCATTACACATAACTTTTTCCTACATTTTTACCATCCTTAACTCTACACAGGTGAGTATCAGGTATTATAATTTCCTAACTTTATACATTAAATCATCCAACCTCAGTATTTAGATCACTTTATAATATTGTGTACATAGTACGCATAGTCTGATTTCTCAATTCAGTTTCCAATGCGGTGCTTTATGAAGTTATAGAGCTCGGCTCGTAATTTATAAGCTTTCCTTGTGCTCTTTTAAGAACCTGCTTGGCTTTTAAGCGTTATAGAGCCTGGAAAATGCATTATATTGCATTTTATGTT